GTTGTATGTTAGTATACATATCTATATCTCTATATATACTTACTCAATATAAAAGAATGAATAAATAAATATAAGGAAAAATATTACCAATTAATAGATTTACCAATTAGGTTAATACGTGAATATGGAAACAATATTATCAATTAATAGATTTTAATTAATTTCTATTTTACATTTAGTTACCAAATAAGTTTTACTACAAAAGTTTGGGCGGAAAAATGAAATAGGAGGATTTTACTTTTATATATATATAGATTACGTAATAATTTTAGTAAGAAATAGGAAGTACCAAGTAATTAATAACTATAAAAATAACTATAATTTTTTAATGCAATTTATTTGAAAACACACAACAACAACGTTTGAATTATTTAGTATTTGTTTACAAGTTAGTGATGTCAGTTAATTTATGTGCACTCAATGAATATAAATTACACAATGAAAAAAATTTAAAAGGTGAAAAAAAAATCTTTTTATATCCCTTGCAAAACATACTATAGAACTTTGTATTAAACTCTAATCCACCCAAAAGATTATTGAAGAACGCGTCCTTTACAGTGTCTTTTGGTTGGAGAGAATTTGTATTCTATTTCTATTTAATTCCACCTAATTTTAAAGGTCATTAAATACCTTAGTTTGGTTAGAAGGAATTTCAATTCCACAAAATTGTAATTCTCTCATTTTCATTGAATTAGAATCCTATGTTCCCTTTGGAATTTTAATTCCGTGAATTTTATGAAGAAAAAAAAAAAGAAGATAATCTTGAAACAAAATTACTTCTCTTTTTATTTTTTTTAACCTAAAATTGATGCTTGACCTTTCCTTGTAGATGATAGTCGTGTATTTTCTTCGACTACTGTCAACAGAACGTCATTCTTGAGCAATAATTATTCTAGGTCAACCTTAATCAAGTATGTTTTCTCAAAACACTCAAGTATTTAAATTGATGTGTATATATCGTGGGTGATGTGTTTGTTGTTTATAATAACAAATGAATCTATGCAATAGTGAATGACGTTAGTTGAGTGTTAATTTGTTAATTTTAATTATAATAGCGAATGAACCTATACAATAGCTAATAAAAATTTGCATTGTTTATAATTTTATGTATAACAACTATAATTTGCATTATGAATGTCGTCGATTTTATAATTGCATTCTTTATTTTCGTGCATGTTCCTTTGAATGATTTATAATAATAATAATAATGATATAATAAAAAATAATAATAACAATAACAATAACAATGGACATTTTGAATTTTGTATTACTTATTCCCTTACAAATTCTATGTATACCGAACATAGGAATTGAAATTCCCAGTAATTTTATTTTCGTAAACCAAATACAGGAATTTAAACTCATACTTTATGCCTACATTATTCTTTTCCCATGGAATTGCAATTCATTTCCCACTTAATTTCCTTCCCTTCAACTAAACGCCCTATTAATAGTTGACTACATTAAACAAGTGATATCATAATAATCAATAATCATTATTATTATTGAGTTGGACTGTTTAAATTTCTACACAAGTTTTAATTTTGTTTGTCAGGACTATTCTTATGTTGGTCTTATTGTTCAGTAGTGTCGTATACTTGCTAGAGGTATTGGGAACGGTGTTGTTCGTCATGTTAAGATGTCAGCAAATCATGTAGCTCATGTGCTTGCACGGGCGACTGGTTCTTCTTCTATCCTTGAAGTTTGGGATGTTTTCCCGCCCAGTTGTATTTATGCTTTCTTTGATGAGTTAATATAAGCTTGTTATTTGATTTTCCAAAAAAAAAAAAAAAGCATTAATTTGAGAAAATCAAATGCACCAATTAAAGTAATTTAATCTAAAATCAGGGAAATTATTGTGTGAACCATAGTCCATACAGTGCTACATGGAGCATAACAAACAAATACATTTTTAATATAGTAAAAGTACATTATTTATGTACTAAATGTATATTATATAAAATCATATACTTTTAGTACTCAAATAATGTACTTTTCTTGAATACAATTTACATTTTTAATATACTTGTTTGTTTTAGCACTTTTGAAAAGCTCACAGAGATCCAACACAACCGAAAAGTTTGTAGATTCACCAGAAAATGTAGTGTAAAAAGAGGAAATAATACACAGAAGAACACTAGTTTTACCTTCTTTCATACTCTTTCATTTTAGTAGCACATTATTTCCTCTTTTTACACTACATTTTTCGGTGAATCCACCAACTTTCCGAGTGTTTTGGACCTCCGATCCGTGGGCCTCCCAAAAGTCCTAAAACTAACAATACTAAAAGTACATATTTGTATACTGTATATACATTATTTGATAATATGCTCTGTATGGACCATGATCCACACATTAATGATTGATATAACCATGAAGATCATAGTAGCAAACATTATTACATGTACCATGGTCCATACAGTTTTGTGGACCATAAATAAAAGTGTAATTCTACATGTACTCTCAAATCATACTCCCATTTTGCACTCCTTATGACATGGCATGCCTTGATTCCTTAATTTAGTAGGGGGCCATGATGTTTATCCATTCTTTTTCTTTCTTCCACCAATCAAATTTGAACACAAGTAAGAGTACAAATTGGGAGTACATCTAATATTTTTGTAAATAAAGAGTATATTTGTAATAAACTAAAAGTACATTATTTATGTACATAAAGTACATTATTTGAATACTGAAAGTATATTATTGTACATACAATTAAATAATGTATATTCAGTACAAAAAATAATGTACTTTTAGTATATTAAAAATGTACTTTGTATTTATGGTCCACACAACTATGTGCCAGGGTCCCAGAATAATTTGCCAATCGTTATGCTGTGGACTCGTGCCCAGCGTGCATCATGGGCACGGTAACGGTGCCGTCAGTGCCACCGTTATCTTCCTTTTTTTTTTCTTTTTTTTTTTCTTTTTTTTTTTTTTTTTAAATTTCAGACCGCTTCGTTATAGGAGCATATATTCACAGCTCTGTGTTCATAATTTCATAACTCTACATTCATAATTTCATAACTGTACATTCATAATTCCGTAGCTGTACATTCATAATTCAATAACTGTAAATTCATAATTTTCGAAACTCTGTGTTCATAATTGTAAGTTCATAATGTCAGAGTTCTGTGTTCATAATTTCATAACTGTACATTCATAATTCCATAACTGTACATTCATAATTCCATAACTGTACATTCATAATTCCATACTGTATATTCATAATTCCATACTGTACATTCATAATTTTCGAAGCTCTATGTTCATAATTGTAAGTTCATAATTCCATAATTGTACATTCATAATTCTATAACTATACATTCATAATGTCATAACCGTACATTCATAATTTCATAACGAATACGTTGTTAACGTCGTTAACGACCTTTCGAGTAATTTTTTTTTTTAATTAGGACAGCGTCGTTTTCAAGGAAAACGATGCTGTTTTCAAGGTGCGCACGTGCGCATAGCATAATTTGCCATAATTTGCGGCAAATTATGCTGTGCATCCGTATGCACCATGCATGGTGCATACGGATGCAAAAACGACGTCGTTTTAATAAAACGCGCGTCTCCCCTAAAAAAAAAAATCAGGTTTGATTCTCAGCAACAACATATGAACTATATTTCCATAATCTAATCTATGAACTAAAAATTCCAGAATGAATGAACTAAAATTCCATAATCTATAAACTAAAATTTCAGAATCGATGAACTACAATTCCATAATCGATGAACTATAATTCCATAATCAATAAACTATAATTCCATAATCTATGAACTAAAATTCCAGAATGAATGAACAATATAATGTTGTTGCTGGGAATCGAACCTGAATTTTTTTTAAAGGGGAGACGCGCGTTTTTTAATTAAACGACTTCGTTTTGGTATCTGTATGCACCATGCATGGTGCATACGGATGCACATCATAACGGTTGATAATTTGCCTCGCAATAGCAGACGTTATGCCATGGAACCGTGTTCACCATTCATGGTGAACACGGTTCTAACGGTGTTAGTACACCGTTATCTTTTTTTTTTTTTTTTAATTAATTGCGTGACTTTTCTTCTTTATTTTCACATTTTGCGGTTTCACTTTAATTTGAAGTGAACAAAGATTTCAGACATTCATAAATTATGAATTCATGCCTGCACATTCACTTTGGAACCATGCCTACACATTCCCGTCCGAAATCACGGACATTCATAAATTATGAATCCATGGCTGCACATTCACTTTGGAACCATGCCTACACATTCACTTTGGAACCATGAGATTATGAATTTTCTGTTATAAGATTATGAATTTTCTGTTATGAGATTATGAATTTTCAGTTATGAGATTATGAATTTTCTGTTATGCGATTATGAATTTTCTGTTATGAGATTATGAATTTTCATTACATTCATAATTTCGGACATTCATAAATTATGAATTCATGTCTGCACATTCACTTTGGAACCATGCCTACATATTCCCGTCAAAATCACGGACATTCATAAATTATGAATCCATGCCTGCACATTCACTTTGGAACCATGCCTACACATTCACTTTGGAACCATGAGATTATGAATTTTCTGTTATAAGATTATGAATTTTCTGTTATGAGATTATGAATTTTCAGTTGTGAGATTATGAATTTTCTGTTATGCGATTATGAATTTTCTGTTATGAGATTATGAATTTTCATAAAATTCATAATCTCATAACAGAAAATTCATAATTTGATCAAACGCGCGCTGTTAACTCCACATCCGCGAAATTTTTTTTTTTTTTGGCCTAAAAACGACGTCGTTTTGTCTTGTGTTCACCATTCTCGGTGAACATGATTCCATGGCATAATTTGCGCTCGCAATAGAAGCTGGGCTGGTATGTGTTTGGACTTTGGAGAGTAGTTTTGGGCTTATAGCCAATTTACAACAGATTAAACAATACTGGGCTCGAACTCGAACGGTCCATAGAAAATGGCGAAGTATACTCCGAATAGAAATCGAAGGCATTTAGGTAGCTAGGGTTTTATCATCGTCTTCCTCACTCTCTCTGGTCTCTGCGCTACAATCACCAAAAAAGGAAGAACAATTCGAATCTGATCGGAATATGGTTGGCTTTGAAATCGGCGCAGTACCGTTCAACCCAGACGGATGGGGCCCACCGGATTCGAGCACCGGCGGCTCGATCTCCCTCCCTAACCAGCCTTCCAATGTGCCGTTCGCTCCCTTCTCCCGCTCGGAGAGGATTGGGAGAATCGCCGATTGGACTCGGACTCTGTCGAACCCGGGCCGGCCCGGTGCGAACTCGAAGCAGGGCCACGCGGACTCTGCGTTCGACTTCTCGACTGACGACTCTTTCGCTACGCTAGCCGCCGACGAGGATTCCTCCTTCCGCCTCGTCGATACGGCCGCGAAGTCTCACCACCACGGCCAGCACCGTCCCAGGTTCAACCCTAGGTGGCGATTCAATCCGCACCACCAGCGCTCTCAGCTCCCTCAGCGCCGTGACGAGGAGGTGGAGGCTCGCAAGCGCGAGGCCGAGAAGGAACGAGCCCGCCGTGACAGGCTCTACAATCTCAACCGCTCCGGTATCAATGCCGGCCAACGCCGCGAGTCTTCGGTGTTCAAGTCCTCCGTCGATATCCAGCCAGAATGGAACATGCTTGATCAGATCCCCTTCTCCACCTTCACGAAGCTCTCCTTTTCTGTTCCGGAACCGGAAGATTTACTTATCTGCGGTGGCCTGGAGTTCTATGACCGCTCATTCGATCGAATTACTCCAAGGAATGACCGCCGTCTTGAACGATTTAAGAACCGCAATTTCTTCAAGGTAACCACCACAGATGACCCTGTTATACGCCGCTTAGCTAATGAGGATAAAGCCACTGTTTTTGCTACCGATACTATTCTATCGACCTTAATGTGCGCCCCTAGATCGGTTTATTCATGGGATATAGTGATTCAGAAGGTTGGAAACAAATTATTCTTTGATAAACGTGATGGATCGCAGCTGGACTTGCTTTCTGTTCATGAGACTTCCCAGGAACCCTTGCCTGATGTTAAGGAGGATATCAATTCAGCTTATTCATTGAGTGTGGAGGCAGCATATATAAACCAAAATTTCTCCCAACAAGTGTTGGTAAGGGATGGGAATAAGCTCACATTTGAGGAGCCCAACCCATTTGCCACAGAGGGTGAGGAGGTAGCATCAGTAGCTTACAGGTATCGGAGGTGGAAGTTGGATGATGATATGTATTTGGTGGCCCGGTGTGAGGTCCAGAGTGTGGTGGAAGTGAACAATCAGAGATCATTCTTGACTGTGAATGCCCTGAATGAGTTTGATTCTAAGTATTCCGGAGTTGACTGGAGACAGAAGCTGGAGACTCAGAGGGGTGCGGTTTTAGCTACTGAGTTGAAGAACAATGCTAATAAATTAGCGAAATGGACTGCACAGGCACTCTTGGCTAGTGCTGACATGATGAAATTGGGATATGTTTCCCGTGTTCATCCCAGGGATCACTTTAACCATGTAATATTGGCTGTGGTGGGGTATAAGCCTAGAGACTTTGCAGCACAAATCAATTTGAATACGTCTAATATGTGGGGAATAATGAAGAGTATTGTCGACCTGTTTATGAAATTGAAGGATGGGAAGTATGTACTTGTTAAGGACCCATCCAAGCCCCAAGTGAGAATATACGAGGTTCCTCCAGATGCGTTTGAAAATGATTATGTTGAGGAACCTTTGCCGGAGGACGAACAGGTGCAGCCACCTGGTGAAGATGCGGACACTGGTGAGGCAAATGGTGTTGCAAATGATGTAGAGGATAAGGAAGTCAGCACTGAAGCTGCTGCTGCTTAAGGGTAAGAGCATATTTCATCTTGCTATCCTGAAAGGTGGTCATCTGGACTGTACTTCCACCATTTTGCACTAATTTATGATTGTTTTTTTAGTTGTTTTGGTTCAAGAGGATAGAAACTGTCATGTGTTAGGCTTTTTTACCTTTCACTATCTATTTCTTTTTGCTTAGAGAAATGATAATGACTAGTTTGCTGAAATTTGAGCTCCTGCATGTCTACTCCTATTGAGTGGTACATTTTGCTATACACTTATACGTGTGATACATATTTAATACTACCTATATGCCATGATTTTCCTGCATCTTAAAACATCAGACAGAATTAATGACGTGATACTGAACATGCTTGCCATTTTACCTAAAATTCCTTTACTGCACATCTTTTGTCTATGTTTTCTGTATAATTGGACCGATCCATTTATCACTGCAATCTGCATTCTTGATATTTTGCGTTGTGGAGTGTGGATATTATGTTTTCCAATGCTCACTGGGCTAATGATTATTTTTGTTCTTCCTGGTTCACTTTGGAATTTTGAGTAATATGGAAGCTTTAGTGGTGAATCCCTGTTTTAGTTCTCCCCAAAACACTCTAATTTGCATCCCTTCCAGCATTTTGATTCTTTCCCTACCAATTTAGGAGCAATAAGCTAAAGAGAACGTCACCAGAATATCCCAACGTATGATAGTTAATGTGATAGCTTTCTAGTTTAGTCGAATACAATAACTTGGGCTTACTTTGTTGTTCAGTTCCAGTTGGTTGAGTGCTTAATCACAGCATGTGAATGTCTCGTCTCCAGGCTACCACCATCATGCCAAGAACTAAAACTCACACTTGGTGTCATGTCAGTTGAACCTGAGCTTCATTGCCATTTGATGTCTGCATTGTGCAACTAGATTATATGCAGATAGGGAAAACCCTAATGTCCTATTTAGGGTTCTTGCTCACAATCTGTAGCCTACAATCTACCACCCTGGAAACGGGCGGGCTTACCTGCTTTCTACTATTCACATACAGTCATTCAGTCATTGTTGTCTTTCTGAACAATTTTACCCCAGGTCTTTTCAGGGAGAATGAAAGGGTGTATTTTCTTTTTCTTTTTCTTTTTTTTTTTCAGAAAAAAATTACACCCTTTCATTGTCCTGAAAAGTCAAAAGACCCGTGATTAAAAAAAAGGTGCTTAGACTTTATCCTCATAGAGCTTTTTTATGCACCTTATGATCCTCTCCTTGTCCTGCAGGCTGCAGCTTATGGTTTTCTTATGTTGTTAAGGTGTGATAGCCCATGGTTTCTGCCATCCGGTTGTTACATGACACCAAATGCAATATGACCCAATCAACATTTTTTGTTTTTATTACTATTTTTTATCACTAAAAAAGGCTGCAAAAAAAAAAAAAAAAGAAGATAAAATCTATCCGTTAGAATAAATCTAAATGGGTATCAGTATACTTTTTACTCAAAAAATGATAAATATCTATATCATCAAATCGGAGATGTAAATATAAATCAAATGTTCCAAATACATATGACACCGGGGTATACCCCTGAAAACAAAAACACAAATACGAACTAGATACAAGAAAATCAACATTGGCTAACATATTCTATATCATAAGATTATACTTGATGGTATTGTTGGTTTCGTGACCCAGGTAGTCACTGGGGTAGGGCTAGGGGTGGGGGGAGGGGGGAGAGAGATAGGGGAGTTGGGGGGGGGGGGTGGGTTGGGTTGGGTTTGACCACAAGATGACAAGAATGAGTTTTTTTGGGTCGATAAGAGAAGGAAAAAATGTTTAGGGCAACCCAATAGTAGTTTTTTGGGTGGTCTTTGAGAAGATAATGCTTATGTGGGGGAGAGAGAAGAAAATGAGTCTTTGTATGAGGGATGATTTTTGGACTAAACATGTGGAGTCCGCCATAGAGAAAATGCTTGCGCCTTGTTTGCGCGTTCAACGCAACTTGCGTGCGTCCCCGTTTTATTTTTTATTTCCCTCCAACAGTTGGTTTTTTTAAAAAAATTCTTTTATTGCTTTTGTTTTCTCTCTCCTCTTTCTTTGTAATATGACAAAAATTCATCAAAAATCATGCCTATTGGAGATGCTTAGTTTCTGGTGTGCCTAGTTAGTTGAGCGTGTAAATAGAATTTCTCAATTTTTTTTTTCATTCCTCTATTTTCTTGTTGGTCCTAAAAAAACTGAACAAAAACCTATATTAGTCGCATCGTTTTTATAACAATTGTAGGCTACATTGGCGGACCTACTATGGGGGCAGTGGGGGCAGTAGGGGCAGCTGCCCCCACTCACCCCCCTCCCCTGAACCTTTTATATAATATAAACATAAGATTTACAAAACATTTTGTTAGCGTAGGTGGTTAAAACCTTAAATTTGTAATAGTATGCCATGAGATCAACTCCCAGTAGCAGCACTTTTTTGTTGTTTCTCTTCTTTATTTTAGCCTTTTCAATCCTCCAATAAATTAAATAATTTTTCACCTTTAATTTCAATAAAAAATTTCAAGTTTCCTTTTTTTTTAGCCTTTCCAATCCTTCAATAAATTAAATAATTTTTTAAGTTTACTTTTTTTGTGAATGTAGTCCACAAGTTTATATTATACTTCATTATATTCGAATGAATCATTTAGTTTTTTTTTTTTTTTTTTTATATATATATTTTACATTTTTTTAGCCCTTCCAATTATTCAATAAATTAAATATTTTTTCAAGTCTACTTTTTGTGTGAATGTAGTCCACAAGTTTATATAATACGTCATTATATTCGAATTAATCATTTAGATAATGTAGTTCATAAGTATATATTATACTAATTGTATTCGATTCTAGAAAAATTTAAAATTAATCTTAACTAAAAGAAAATTAAAATTAAAGTATTTATAAATATATTGTCGATTATGTTTCATATATATAGTTTGTTTTTAAAGTCATTTAAACACGCCCCCACTCACATACTTTTCTGGATCCGCCACTGGTAGGCTATATATACAAAGTTCATAATGAACACAAGTGTTCATCAGCAATAACTAACCTAAAGTCTTTTATAGTCTTTTGAATGTATTAACATCCCTAAATAAGTAGAGGAGACTAGGTCTTACAAGATAAGTTGGTGAGTTCTAATCTTCTACAAAAATTTATACTCGTTGACCATAGTCAGCTTTCATTTTCATGTGCTTCGTTTGACAATTTCCTCTCTCTTTACCTCGGCCATATATTCCAATAAACCCACCACTCCCATACCGCCACTTGGTTCCTTCTCCACCCACGCGCCGCCGCCATTAACACTCCACCTCCGGTGATTTTCACGCGCTGTAAACCGCGTGGGATTCGTGGTCACGTTCCCCAACAAAACATTTTCGTACCAAACTGAAGACTCAAAAGTGATGCGAAAATGCCAAACTCTCATCTCCTTTAATCTTCTCTCTCCCTTTTTTTTTTTCTCTCTCTTATTCTTTATTTTCCGGCGATTCTCGCCGCCCCGTTTCTCTCTCTAGAACCGGACCCGTCGATGGAAGGTTCGATGAATCCCCGAGAAAACCGGAACCCGCCGCCGGTTTCTTCCCCCGATAGCCGCCGGAGCAGTAATAGTTCGAGCAGTAGTAGCAGTAGCACCACCCACAGCAATGGTCCGGCGACGGCGGCGCCGCCGCCTGTACTGCCCGTCACCAGATCCGAACCCAATAGCCCATACCCGACCACCTTCGTCCAAGCCGACGCTTCCTCGTTCAAGCAAGTAGTCCAAATGCTCACCGGATCCCCCGACCCGGCCAAACCCGCCGCCGTGTCGCCGCCGTCGAGGAACCCGATCCCGCCCGTCAAGGCCGGCGTTACGAAGAAGGAGAAATCCGCCTCCAAGCTGTACGAGCGGCGAAACAGCCTGAAGAATTTCAAGCTCAACCCGTTGGGTCCCGGGTTCGGACTCTTACCGGGCCGACCCGGTCTGCCGGAGATTCTGTCGCCGAGCATACTCGATTTCCCGTCACTGGTTCTCAGCCCGGTCAGCCCTCTCATACCCGACCCGTTCAACCGGCCCCCCCACGCCGCCCCGCCCGCCGGAGCTCTGAACATGGAGGCCGAAGAGAAGGCCATCGCCAAAAAAGGGTTCTATTTCCATCCGTCGCCGGCGAATACTCCGAAAGATTCGGAGCCCCGACTGTTACCCTTGTTCCCACTCACCTCTCCCAGAATCTCAGATTCTGCTAATTCTGATTCTTAAGTGAGTCTTTAATTTTTTTGTCCATTTTTCCATTGTTATAATCTTTAAATTTCCAGTTGAGCTTCACTTGATGTATGATTCATATATTATATATATATAAACCTCATAGATATTATTCGGTGTATCTGCAATGAACAATTTGAAGAAAATGCAATATATATATATTATATATATACATATTATTGCTTCAAGTCTAAATACTATGTGACTTTGGTGGTTAGAATGATGTTTTCATTGTTGAATTTGATCAAATTTTATGATTGCCTGTTGAATTGTTTGGTGTTCTTTTCTATGAATGCTTATTGGAGTTCTCTTTTATATGTTACAATTAGGAAATTTTTAAGGTGATGATCGAAAATCAATTTGTATTAGGTATAATCACTCATGATATGTCCCGGTTATTGTCGAGACCGGTGTTGATGTCCCGGTTAGGGAGCTTCTAAGGTGTTGATTCGCACAATGCTAATTTATACCGAGTATAATCATACATTATATATATGTCCTATTGCATCGGGTACTGTGGGAACTAGATTCGAGAGTACCCAATGCAAACCCTAGATTGTATCTTATATAAATTAGCACATTGTCGACCTAGTACAACCCAAAATATCGTAGAAGATTGTACTCAATATAGATCGACACAGAACTGATCAACACGTTAGAAATTCTCGTACTTTTAGGTTACACATGAGTAAAAAGAGAGGGGAAGAAGGGGGTTGCTTTCAAGGTGGGGATGAGGAAATGGGGGTGGTGATAGGGGGGAAGAGTAGAGGAAAGGGCAAGGAATCTTGACTCTATTGTTGTCTTTGTGGAAGAGAGGAAAATGATGCCAAAAAAAGAGGCAACCTTTCTATGATAAGCATTCAATTATTTTCATCTCTCTTAACTTGCACTGTTTTTGCACAATTATAGTATTGCCTAATTGTGCTCATTCTTGACATAGAAACCTTGTCTTAGTACTTGCTTAGGACTCTAGTAACCTACATCATTTTTCTTTGTGGGCATAAATTTCATGTGGGGCTAGAAATACCATATATTGTGCCAAATTCGGAACCCCAATCAAGTTGATAACCACAAGATTCTAAATCTGACTCTCGGTGAGAACGATCTATTGACCTTCTTGGTTTGATTCGATCAGTTATAGACAACTTACCCTGATTTATCTCTTTGTGGTCCTAGCCTTGGTTGATAGCTGAAGTAGGATAGGTTTAAAATTGGATAAAATTTCTTGGATTTGCGTTGGTGTTATAAGCGTGGGATTACCTTATCCCGTGATCTAAAGTTCCAACAATTAGATAAGAAGATTGAGTAAGATGTGTTTGCTCTTATGTGATCATCTTTTCTAAACTGAAGTCTGTTGCTTCTAGACTAATTTTAATTCTGTTTAGGTCATGCTTATAATAATTTCGTCATGCTTACAAGGATCGAAAATTCCAATTCTATGTATTAATAATTTCGTCAATTCGCACTGTCCCAAACAACGAGATTAAGTCTCTTACATGAAACAATATCTATATGTTTTTCTTTTCTTGAATGGGTGTAATGGCATTCATGAGCATCATTAATTTGGCAGGTGGTAGTTTTTATTGGTGGGTCAGTTTTTTTTTTTTTTAAGACATTTTGGTAGGAGAGAGGGTCTAAACAATTATTGCAAAAATTGCATTTTTATTAAGCAATAAATTCAGTCAAAATTGACAGCAGAAGTGTAAGACCAAAATGGGCACAAAGCCATAAACAGGTTTAGCCAAAACTGGATGGGGGTCCAAGAGAATTTGGGCCCCATATATAGAGTATGTTATATTGTTATTTTCATTTAATGGGTCCCATGAAACTTACTAAAAATTTCACCTTTAATTAGTCCAAAAATTCCCTTTCAAATTTTTCTTCTGAAAATACTCGTTTTGGAGAGATACCTTAATGAAAGATTAAAGAGATTTATGGACAAAAGCCTATAATGACCCATCTGCAGCTTAATCCCAAGTACAGGCTGCCATTAATGCAGAGCTTGAAATCATTCAAAGCCACAAAGGAAGTTTCTTTCTTGTCATTATGTTATGGTGTTGTCAGCTAACACACTCAACTCCCCTTGGAAGACTCTCATCAATGTGGGGTGGGAGTGGAGATACCTAATATGAATAGTGGGTTGAGAAAGTGGGGAGTGAGGGAACTTGTAATATAAATGTTGTCCTTTAATTTTCCTCCCATACAGTACGGGATGAGTAATATATATACCGTTTTGAAAATTGAGGGGTAATATTTACACTACTGATAATTTAGGAGTGACATTGATAATTGACATATTATTAAAAAGCATAAATTATAATTTTTCCTGAATATTTTATCATGGGTTGTCACATCATAAAATAAAAGTGACGTGGTAGAATTTGAAAATACATGTAATAAAACTCAGGTGTATACTAATACGGAGTACAATATTTTAAATAAAATGTAGGAAAGGAGAAGACTTGGTGGTGGGGTCATGAGGATAGTAGATTTGAGAATTAGATTCTATTCAGTGTTTGGTCTCACCCTCTTTGGGCATTGGCAATCCTGGGTTTAATTCATCTTCTTTGATAGGGTTGTTCCAACTTTCAACCGTTTTCATTTAATCCGTCTTTCTTGACTATTTTTTTTTTTTTCTCTCTCTCTCTCTTTTCTTTTTTTTTTTTTAAATATATTTCTTTTTAAAATTTTTGCAGACATCTTAATTTTGACAAATATAATGAATACCAGTATGAAATGTTTGACCTAAAATGGCTTTGCACAACTTGTCTTTTGGTTATTAACACAAAAAAAATTTATTCTATTATCTATACTTCTTTCCACATAATATCTGATACATTTTTACTTCATATATAGACTTTTCAAGTTCATTCTTCTTAGTCGAAATGTCTCATAATACATTTTTAGTGTCATTTATCTCTATGGTATAATTTACGAGTTATTATATAAGAACATAATTACCTACCACATACCCTCAAGTATTGATTATAAATTTTCGTTATTATTAACAATCAGGTTTCGGTTAAGTTTAGCGCTCTTAACTTTTCTTTTGATTATCATCGTTTAAATAATATATTTTACATTTTTTCTTCATATAAAATAAAATTTAAAAATTATTAATAGACGCTTTAATTTCATTCCTATAGTCTGTCATATAAATTTTTTTAAAAAAATTAATTTGCTTTTTTTATATAATTTATAAAATTTTACTTAATACACATCCTCGTCATTGATACATTGGCTGCAAACCTACAATAACCTAGAAACATTCTTGTACGTTGTAATCCTCTAATTCTTTTGTTCCTTTTTCTTTAATTATATATTATGTAGGCGGCGGTGTAGCTATCCATACTTGCAATAAACCTATCCTATTTATTTGACTTGGGGTGTTAAACATCAAATTATTGATTTTTTTTTTATACAAAGAAAATATGTTTAAAAAAAAAAAAAAAGACTATAATTCTAGGCAAAATCATACCTACATCAACAAAGAGTATCGAGCACAAACCGTTCTCGGAATTATTTAAAAAAAAAAAAAGTTCCCTGTTAAATTTTATATGTCTGATTTGATTAACGAGATTTGTGTGAAATTATTTGTAATAATATTAAGTTTATTATTATTATATAAAATTTATATATTTAATAATTAAATTAAAAATACTATTAAACACAAAAAAAATTATAAATAAATAAAAGGGAAAATGACACTTTTTACCCTTGAGTTATATACTTATAGCACTTTTTCCCCTCAATTATTTAGGTAAGCGCATTAGCCCCCTCAGTTATTCTAAAAGTGGTGCTTTTTCCCCCTTGATATATTCAATTGACATTTATACCCTTAAAGTAAATATTTTATTTATTTTACTTCTCCAACAAATTATTGCGTATACGTAGGGATGACCACGGTTCGGTTTGAATTGAACCGGATACTATAGCAATCGAATTAATTGTTTTCGGTTATAATTCAGATCTATAATTCAATATTTAAATGTCAATTTATTAAAATTATGTATCAAAAAATTGAATCTTGAACCGTGAACCGGCGGTTCTGGATCCGATTCGCGATTTTGAACCGTCTTTATTTTAAAATTTTATTTTTATTTTAAAATAGTATAAATTCAACAATATATGTATTTTATTTTTTCAGTTCGGAACATGAACCGTCCGTTCTGGTTCACGATTTTAATAAACTCTAAATATCGGATTTCGATTCTAAATTGTAATTGGAATATTTCGGTTTGGTTGCTATAGTGTTTGTTTGGTTTGAACCAAATTATGGTCATAATTTGTTGGAGAAAAAAAATAAATTAAATGTTTAGTTTAAGGGTAAATATGTCCATTTAACATTTCAGGGGGGAAAACAGCCACTTCAATAATTTAGGGGGGAAAATGCTATAGGTATATAACTCAGGGGAAAAAACGCCATTTTCCCTAAATAAAAATAACTAAAAAGAAAGAATTAGTTTGACCAATAAATAGTAAATAAAGCATGTAAAATGAGACAGAGTATCACTTTTAAATTTTAATCTTCCGTTGAGACTAAAGGTGATCTATTTTAGGATTAAAAGCGCCATTTAGTAATTGTGATTAAATATAACTAGTATTTTCACCCGTGCGATGCACGAAATGGAATTGTTGTAATATATTAAGAATATTTAAATCGATATATAATTATTTAAGAGTTAATTTCACCAGAGTTCGTTTATCTTTCCTGACAATTCCAAATTTAATCATAGACTATAGTTATTAATTATTACGATTTATTCTATGTTACAACTCTTACGTTAATATTCTTACTGTTATTATTAACACTTCATTACTTTTAGATATTATTATTACCACTTATATTATTATTATTACTAGTATTTTCACCCGTGCGATGCACGAAATGGAATTGTTGTAATATATTAAGAATATTTAAATCGATATATAATTATTTAAGAGTTAATTTCACCAGAGTTCGTTTATCTTTCCTGACAATTCCAAATTTAATCATAGACTATAGTTATTAATTATTACGATTTATTCTATGTTACAACTCTTACGTTAATATTCTTACTGTTATTATTAACACTTCATTACTTTTAGATATTATTATTACCACTTATATTATTATTATTATATTATTATCATTATTATTAGTTTCTTTTCAAGTATTGTTAGTATATAATGGTCGTGAGACACAATAAT